AAAATATGTCATAAACAAACCCAAAATTAGATCTACACTAGGAGTTGACAAACTAAAGACTTTATACCTTAAATGGCTCGAAATGATGATGCTAACTCTGGATCTCTAAGCTCTACTCCAAGGAATGCCTCTTCATTCTCCTTTTACCACTTCAAAAATGCACAAAAACACACCAAAATTCTTCATAAAAGCTCAAAAGCACCAAAACAAAGGGTAGGGGCGAAGTTAGGGTTTAAAGGATATGGAGGCTGGTCTAAAATGTCCAGGAGGTGAGTTTAAGATGCTTAAATAAGGCACAAATCCTAAAAATTAGGGTTTGTCCCAGGCCTGCATACGCCATGTGTAATCCACGTACGCCCAACGTACGTGGGTGGAATCTGTGACTATCAGGAGGCTAGTATGCTAAGCGTACTCATAGAGTACTCCCCGCATACTAGCAAAGGACCATATTGAAAACAATCTAACATTAGGGACTAAAAGAGGAACTTACCCAAACTTGAATGTTACACTGGTCTATTGATCGCTAATAGATGTGATATAATTGTTCATTTTCTAAGCAAACAATGTTCATCGACATGCTTTAAATTTTGACATGGTCTGTAAGACATCCCACGTCATGCACCAGTGATTTTCAGAACATTCTACTGGATGGTAAATCATGTATAACGATTGTATGAATGTATACATCCTCTCATATACGTTGAAATTTAGAAGTAATGTGTATGAACTTTTCCCGGAAATAAAAAATAAATGAAGAACGAAACCGTAAATGGCATGGCAATCTGCGATGATACAAGTCTTCAATGCATAAAATGTGCACAACCAACTACATTCACAAAGGACTTTAGAGAAAACCCCATATGATTTGGGAGGAAACCGCAGATAGTTATGTGCTATTTATGATTTTGTGTGAAAATTGGCAAAGAGATTTTTTTTATTGATAACACGAAGTCACAAGTGTTAGGAAGATTCTGCACACGGGTTGACGGGACCGCATGAGTGTTTGCCTCATTTGTGGTTTGTTGGTTATTTTTGGATAAACTCTAATTTTTAGCTATTTTTTCTAAGTCAATAAGAAATTAAGCTATTTTTGTAAATATCCTCTTTTGTCTAATAAAAAACATTAATTAAAAAAATTAAAATATTAAAATTCTTTGGCAACAAATTCTCGAAGAGTAGTAGAGTCAATATTATGAATATCATATGCACTTTTGCATCTACATGACAAACTATGTATTAGTCGCATTTTAAATTATATAATCAACTTAAGGATCATAATTCTATAATAACTTTTATACATATGACGAATTAAGTGGAAATGTATTTGAACTCTTTTATTGTCTGTTGCGTCTTGCATCAAACTTTTGATTTATCATTGGGTCAAGCTCTTGTTTTATTACTGTTGTTATATTTTAACTTATTTTTCTTAAATTAAATATAAATATTTTATAAATCTTAATATAAAAGGGTTTTAATAATATTATATATATATATATATATCTATATATATATATATATATATATATATATATATAATATAAAGCATGTTTTATTTTGTAGATTTAAAAATATATAAAAAGTAAAAAAATACAAATTATTCGTCGTTATTTCATAATTAGCTAATATTTATAAATAAAAATGTAAAATTATTATATATGTTATGGAATGTAGCTCACTTAGCAATGGGGTGGAGAGACTAGCATAATCTAAGAAAAAAATAAATAATTATCAGGGGTAGATTTAGATTTGAAAAATCAAACATCTTCCTATATTTTGTTTTTATCAGTACTTATTAAGTCAAAGGAAATGTTAAAATTAAGAGATAATTAATAGATTTCATATGTTATCATTTTATATGAGTGTGAAGAAAAATAAAAACAAAAAAAGAAGGATATATATATATATTATATATATATATATATATATATATATATATATATATATATATATATATATATATATAAAAGATTATAAAAGGGTATTTTAAATGGAACCATAAATATTCAATATTCAATATAAAAGTATAAAGTTAATTATTAATGAATTAAGAACATCTCCAATGCTTAAATCATATTAGGGCTTAAAACTATTGTCGCATCTTCGATATAATAAATTAACCTATAATTAAATAATCATTCCAATTGTTAACCTCCTCAAATAGTATTTTTTTTATAAAAGACAAAACTACACAAGTGGTCCCCGTAGTTAGCTCAACATTGCCACTTTGGTCCAAAAAAGTTTGGACTAGCACCACAAGTCCAAACTTTTTATTTTGTTACGAGTTTGGTCCAATTTCCTTTGAACTTTTTTATAATGACGATTTTACCCTCTGTATTTTATTTTTTCAATTTTTTACTTTAAAACTTTTTTAATTTCAGAAAAAAAACAAATAGAAATCAGGACCCACCCTCACTCCCTTCCCCAACCCTCATTTTCTCTCTCTCGTCTCTCATCTCTCTCACAGGTAACATAACCACCGGAATACCACCGCCGAAAAAGATGAACGCCGCTACCTCCACCAGAAAAGATGAATGTCACCACCCAAAAGCATCAATTTCTGTCGAAGACAAACGAACCCTCGATTTTTCGGTATTTTGTAAACGCTCCTCCTCTTCAGATCTAGATCGTCATCGTTGTCTTCGGTTTTCAGAAAACGATCTAGAATGTTGTTGTCGATCTGGAACGTCGCCTCCACCATTCATCTTCTTCGATTGCGTCGTCGTCAGATTTGTTCGAGAAATAGACTGGTGACGTATAAAAACCCTTGATGCTCATCAGAGCAATTCTTCAGTGGATGAAGGTAATTTTCAAACTTCGTATTCAACCTCCAAATTCATCATGCTCTACTACTGGTGGCCTGAAAAACCCTAATGAGAAACTGATTTATGAGGAAGTACAGATTCGTCAAAAAACTAAAATTAAGGGCGCTATAGATTTGGGAATTGGTGATGAAGAATGTTTTTTTTAGGAAAACATGGTGTTTGATGAAGGTGGGTTTTTTTTTCCTTTCACTTCTGAAATTCATTTTGCTTAATTAGAGAATTGTGGTGATTTCCGGCGGTGATCCTAAGGTTTTTTGTGGCTCCGACGACCTCGAGCTTCACGACAGCTAGGGTACCTTCTTCAGACCAGATTTCAATTCTTCATATCAGATTCCACTTCAAGAAATATGAGTTTCGTTTATTTCAAACAGAAAAATTCAAAAAATCATATTTTTAGTGAGAGAAAGTAGAGAGAGAAAGCTTCAAAAAATGTGAGATAAAACAAGGAAATAGATGGAACACATGGAAATATATGTAGGTTTTTTGTTTATTTTTTAGTTGCAGGTGTATAACGAAAATATATATGAGTTTTTTTTTGAGTTCTAGGCGTGCACACACACACACAGATAGAGAGAGGTAATTTGTTTTTCTTTTAAGCATATAAAAATATTTAAATAAATAAATAAAACTGAAAAATAAAAAATAAGGGCAAAATCGTCATTGTAAAAAATTTCAAAGGAAGTTGTACTAAACTCGCAACAAAATGAAAAGTTTGGACTTGTGGTGCTAGTCCAAACTTTTTTGGACCAAAGTGGCAATTTTAACTAATTATCTTTATCTATCTAAAATGTTCTATAAAACCCCCTTATTTAATTATTCGTTTTTGAAACACATTTTGTATTTTAATTTTATTAAAAATATTATAATACATTGTTTCAAAATAAATATATTACAACATATCGTTCGGAAAAATTAATACTAAAAAACTATTTTGAAATAGTGATAAAAATATTGAAAAAAAATCATATAATCATTATAATTTTATATTTCATAAAAAGAAATGTCATTATATATTTAATATAAAAAATTAAGTTGTAAATAAATAAATAAATATTTAAAAGTAAAATATATTTAGGAATTTAAATGAAATATAACTAAAATATTAGAGGATTAAGTGACAAAGTATATAAGTATACTGACCATTCAATATATTTAGTGGTCAATAATAAAAAAAGTAAATAAGATCTAAAATCTCCGATGGGAATAAGTTATAAAAAAATAAAGCTCAATAATAATATTATATAACAAAAATTACCATTTGAGATGCTCTATAATAAACAAAAAACAAAAACAAAAGGTTAATCATGTTGTTGGTCAAATCGTAGTGTTGCAAGTCAAAATGGTGTGATTAACAACATCCTGTGATTATTGTTTTGATATGAAATTAATCGAATGATCATCAATAACTGACGATTCATTGTTAATTTGTGCCTTCTTTGTTTTTGTCATTTATAACAAATATAATGATTTTTTAAAAGAAAAAAAAATAAAACAAACAAAAAAAGTTACAAAATTATCCATGTCATGGAGAAATTCTTAGATAAAACTATATTACCATGTCTAAATCATATAACTTTAAAGAAAAAACATATTTTCAATCTTATGCAATTTAGCTATGATGTTTGATTCAATTTTTTAAATTTTCCATTAGATACATCATGTTTAATTCAAAATTTTAAATTTTTTAATGGAAAATAGGTTTTTCCTGAAAAAGGACTTGCAAAAGGTAAACTTTTGTTCTCTATCATCTGACCTATTAATTTTGAATGGAAAGTAGGTTTTTCCTGAAAAAGGACTTGCAAAAGGTAAACTTTTGTTCTCTATCATCTGACCTATTCTTAAGATTCGTTTTGCAATATCAAAATAAAAAATTTAAATCTAAGTTATAAAAATTTTGCTGATGGGAAATGCCAAGATATACAAAAGGTTAAAAAAAAAAAAACTTTACTCCATTCACAAAAGACTAATTGAATTACAAAAGGTTTTTCAACAAAATCTAACCCAAAAGATACTATGGTGGTCAAGTAGGCGTACGACTGACAGATTAGGACAGCAAAATAACCAAGAGCAGTCATCAAGTCTTTGTTTCTAATATTTAAGTTAGATATATCCAAAAGAAAAGTTATAATGTACATTTTCAATATTTTTTCTTTTGCTGCAATAGTTAAACAATGCGTGTTAGTAACCTGGCAGCATACCATAACCAAGACGATCCTGTAATACGCGATCGAAGTCAGGTCCAAACACTCGTGTCATCTCCTCCACTTTCTTGTTTCGAGCTTTTGTTGCATCTTCATATTCTGACAGTGCCTTCATATACATATCATGAGCTTTCAATAACTGCTTCATTATCTCATCAACTCTCTCCTTCAGCGGCCCTAACGAATGTTCTAAGGCCATCAACTCTTTCTGTAAAGGCTCGTTTCCAAACTTGAGCCTAGCAACCATGTTTAGCCTCTTGTGGGCCCACGAGAGATCGAATCCTAAAGCCTCCAAGTCTTTAAAATCTTGCCATAGACCGGTTATCTGCTCCTGCGCCAGTGTATCCACGGTTAATCCCATAAAACGTTTAATGGTTGCATGGAGTTCTTTCAAGTTGCCTAACCAAAACGTTGTCACACGAATCTGGACCCGTTGAAATGTGTTGGGGTAGCGGTGCTCGACAGCCTCAAATAGCTCCTTTGCCTCTCGTCCCACAACATTCCCTCGCCATATTTCTACAGTTCCATGAGGTTCCTCGCATGTCCTCTTCTCAGGCATCTCCGTTTGCATCAACACATAAGGGTCTTCGGTCTTTAGTGTCAGTGACTCATCAAGACACGCGGAGCTTCTTTTGGAAGACGTCTCTCCCCTTTTACTAAAACTTTTTGATGGGATCAAATTGGGTTTCTTCTGTTTTAACAGAGGCCAACTTTCTTTGCTCTTGAGAAGATGATCTTGAAAGCTCGTTATCTTCAAAGATGTCTTTTTCTCTTTCTTTTGTCATGCCTTACGTCATTCCTCCCGCCTTCGAAAATACATGTTTTTGAATAATGTTTGCTTGTGTCATGGCTGACGTTAATGGTGTTCACAATGTTTCTTTCATGAATGAATGTTTTTTTGAACTGTTGTTGTTCTTGCTTCATGATGACTTCCATTCTCTCGTCAAAGTGTCTGCTATATGATTGTTTGCGCTTTTGATGTATCTGAGATAAGGATGAAATTGATGTAATTGTAATTGCCAACGAATCAATCGTCCACGGCAATAATCTTCTTGTAATTTATAGCGCCAAAATCCAAGTAGATACTTGGAATCTGTTCGTAACTCGAATCTTGTTTGTAGAAGCTCGACCTTCCATTTCTTCAATGTTCTTAAACAAGCTAGTGTTTCTCGTTCATGTGTGCTATAATTTTGCTCCGTTTGGGAAAATGTTCCCGATATATACTTGCATAATTTTTGCTCATATTTATCTGTTTTTAATACTTCAGATGATACATTTGTATCAATGTATGCTTTTGGTGATATTTTCATATCACTGTATACTTTATCATTGTTTACTTCAGATGGTATTTTCATACCAATGTATGCTTTTGGTGATACTTTCATATCACTGTATACTTTTGATGGGTCAGATATGAGGTTTCCCTCGTTATCTAGTCCCAATAATACTTTTCCATGTATAATTGCTTTTAGGCATCCTGCCCAAGTGTCTTGTGATGCATCTGTTTCTACAATTAAGAAATCATCTATTTTTGCATTATATAAAGTAGGGAGAACTTGAATGTTTTGTTATATTTTGTACTAAAATAGTATCTGTATTGGTCCAAGACCAAGGTATTTTTTCTGATATTTTCTTTTGTAAAACTTTTCTTTCTTTTGCTAAATTTTTTAAAAATCCTTGTTCTGCAATATAATTTAAACAACCAAGAAATCTTTATATTTGTTTTCTATTTTCAAGTTTATTAGGAAGCATATTTAATTTTTCTCGTATATTGTCTGTTAACGATAATTGACCATTTTCTCCAATTTTTAAACCGAGATATTCAACTGTAGTTTGAAAAAGTTTTGATTTCTTTTTTGATAAAACTAAACCCTTTTCTTTAATTCTTTGTAAAACCTTGATGACTGCATCAATGTGTGTTTGTTCGTTTCCTTTTGTAAAAACAATTATATCATCAATATATGCAAGACAAATATGATCTAAACCATTTAAGGTTTCATCCATGAATCGCTGATATATTGCTGGTGCCTGTTTTAAACCGAATGGAAGAACATTCCATTCATAATGCTTCTGAGGAGGACATGAGAAAGCGGTTAGTGGTTTCGTATTTTCATGTAAACGTAACTGCCAATATCCAGATTTTGCATCAAATGTACTAAAATGTGTATTTCCTTTTATTTTTTCTAAAATATATTCTTTTCTTGGTAATTTATATGAGTCTCCTATAGTAGCATCATTCATTTTTTTATAATTGATTACCATTCTTCGTTTGCCTCGTTTTATTTCATTATTATTTTCTACATAAAATGCAGGTGCTGAATGAGGACTCTTGCTAGGTCGAATGATTCCTTTTTCTAATAGTTCAATGCATTCCTGTTTGAATTCAGAAACATCTTTTATGTTGTATGGAATTTTATTTGGAACATTAACTTCATCATTAGGGTTTTTAATAATATTATTATTTCTTGATTATTTATTTTTTAAATGATCTAGCGGGTTTTCGCTACATACTTCTTCGAGTTGTTTTTCAGCAATTTCTTTAGCAAATGTTAGTAATATTCGTAATTGAAAGCCAACCTCTTGTTTGATTATTTTAATAAGATCATAATGTTTGATAATTGCAGTTTTTATAAGACCTTTTGTTGGATGATTGAGACTTATATCGTCATTTGTTTGTATAAATGGTTGATATAATTTAAGGAAATTATTTCCTATAACTAAATCTATTCCTGAATCATGTTGATATATAGTTGGAGTTTTGAATGGTGTTTTTTCAATTACTATATCTATATCTCTTCCTACGAACCAAATTTTGTGAATTGATTTATCAGCAATTGTAATCTTTAATGGTTTTTCTAATTTTTCCCAATTTTTTAATATCTTTTTTCTTCCAAAACATAAAGTAGCTCCTGTATCTATATATGAAACTAATTCTTTATCTTGTATTTTGGTTGTAATAAAGGTACTGTTTGGGTTAATATTTGTTTTTCTTTTACTCATTTTATTAAGGTATATGAAAGAAAATTAATTGGATTGTTAGTATTTTTTATTTTTTATTTTCCAATTTTTACTAGTATGATTTTTGTTTTTATAACTTCATAATTTTTTATTTATTATTATAGTATATTTGGGTTTTATTATTCATTTTTATTTTACCATGTGAAAGGTCGTTTAATGGTAAGTGGTTTTTCTTTAAGTAGTGGTTTTTCATTGAGTGGTTCTTCTTTAATTGTTTTTATTATTTTAAATATTTTTCAAGTAGATTTTTCTGTTGAGTTAAATTCTGTAATAATTCAGGGATTTGTTTTAATACAATTAGACTTTCTACCTCTATAATATTGTTTAATTTTTGACTAATTATATTTAGTTTTTCTCCTACTGATTTATCTTCTTCAGGATTAAGACCGATGTTATATATTGTTCCTTGTGGTAAATTTTGTGGTATTTCTATAATCATTTCTTTATCTGGTATATATGGTTTTGTATTTTGATATGATCCTTCAAGTGTTTTAAAATATTTTAGGGAATTACTAGATGATTCTGTCATATTCTTAAACTTAATGATCTAATCATTTCTTTAATATCTTCTAGCTTTTCATCGCTATTTTCATTAGATGTTGAAGGCTGACATTCTGAAATAGAAGATCTACCTATTATAGTTGAAAATGGAGGTTCTATAATTGGACTTCTTTTTATTAACGGAGTAGTAGTTATTATTGGTTGAAAATTAGTTCATTGAATATTCTATTATTAGTCATATTTGGTGATTCAAGGGATAATAAAGGGGTAAATAATTTATCTATATAAATTCTATCTTCTGTTTTAAATGTAATACTATGATGAGAATTTGTTAATGCATAATTTATTTGATATGTAATAGTAAATGGATGATTACCTTTTATGATAAAATTTTGTCTTAATAATTTATATCGTACAGTAATACTATTACTTAAATTTTTATCTTTAAAACTTAATCCTAATTGAATATTAATATCAAATTTTATTTTTCCTTCAATTAAATTACCTTCTCCTTTTGCAATAATACTTTCTTGGTTATTAATTATACGATCATCTCTGATTTCTAATTCTATTGGTGTATTTAAATTACTTACAGTACTTTTTAAGATTATTTGAATAGTTGATATATGAATATAAGCAATTTTTATTCTATCTGTTTCTTTAATATGAGATAATCTATTTCTAATTTGTTGTTTATTTATTATGGGTATAGTAATATTTCTTTGAGTTAATTCTATAGGTATTGTTTGTTCTCCTATAATTTTTCCATAATATATAATATTTTTTCTAGAAAAGAAATTTTTAAATGTGTTATATCTAAAATTGTGTCTTTCGGATAGTGTGAAATTTGATTTTCTTATAGCGTATTTATTGATGTTATTTTTATTAATTAAAGCATCAAAAGTGTATCCAGATTCATTTTCTTCGTTATTAATAACTATTGGTGAGTTTTCTATTTCTTGAGACATACTTATAGTATTAAATCTTCTTACGATAAATATTTTAATTGTTGATAACTTTTTTAAATATGAATATTTAAAAACAATGGTTATTTATTATCATGTTTATGATGTTTATCATGTTTATGATGCTTATCATGTTTATGATGCTTATCATGTTTATGATGCTGCATATGCATATATTCTTATTAACGATAGATGGAATATGCAAACTGATAATAAGAATAATAAGAACGTTACTTAGCTCTGATACCAAATTGAAAACGTAAGTGCGTAGCTCTGATACCAAATTGAAAAACATGGCGGAGTTAATAAAATTAAGATAGAATATACCTGAATGATGCATCAGAATGGATTGACGATGGATTGATTGTCTGGGTTTGATATGTTTATATGAATATATAGATATGTTTGGATAGGGTTCTGCTATTTAGAAATAGACGAGCTATTTCAACAGAAGAAGATTGAGAACAACTCAAATCTTATAATCAAGAAGACATTATTGAAAACACGTGTCCTTTCAATAATGAAGGGATTGTTATTAAATTAAAGTGTCGGTAGGATAATTATTATATGTCTATTGTATTATTGTGATGTAACATAAAGTGTTAGTCCCTCAATAGTCTAGGGGGCTATATTGTAAATATGTTTGTCATATTGCAATCATACGATTGCAATTCAATTATGTAACCGGCTCCTTTGAGCCTATAAATATGGCATTTGCCCATATGAAATAAACAAGCTAAAATTGAGTGTTTAAGATTTGAGTTGTTCTCAATCTTCTTCTGTTGAAATAGCTCGTCTATTTCTGAATATCAGAACCCTATCCAAACATATCCATATATTCATATAAACATATCAAACCCAGACAATCAATCCATCGTCAATCCATTCCGACGCATCATTCAGGTATATTCTGTCTTAATTTTATTAATTCCGCCATGTTTTTCGATTTGGTATCAGAGCTAAGTAACGTTCTTATTATTCTTATTATTAGTTTGCATATTCAATCTATCGTTAATAAGAATATATGCATATGCAGCATCATAAACATGATAAACATCATAAACATGATAAGCAT